GTTTGAATCATCAGTGGCAAATTCTTTAAATATGAAAACGTACTTAGAGTCTGTGAGTCAGAACAGCAGGCCTCTTTTGGAAGGCCGAACAAAGTATTTTCGCTTTCGCAATGAAACACAAAGCGTCTTCACAACATGGCGGTGGCAGCAACAATAAAGTTATGCCGTCTTTCTTTGCGTGAACATTTGGGCGGTGTTATGCAAATCTTCCCACACAGTGACGTAGACATGTGGGGGTGTTTAAACGAGGCGTTTTAGGAGGGCGTGGACGAGTCTTAACTTTTATAAAGAATATCTCTTTGGGTTTGAGACTTTAGTCTTTGCAACTTTAGGGATCTTATCTATTCACGAATAGCTTGTAACACTCCAAAGAGAAAGGAAAACTTGAAATCGCATCATATGACCCCTTTAAGACTCTTTCAAAACCAAAATAACATAATGTTATAAATAATGTTCTTAAATCCTCTCTTAACTCCCAGATGACAGAGGGAATTTCCTCATCCAGTGGCTCTCCAGAGCAAACCCCGAGTTCCCAGCTCCGAAGATCTCCTCAAGTAAACGATCCATCTCCAGTCATCAGCCTGCTGTGTACTGCATGGCCGCTCTTTCCTGGACCCTGCCTCTCTCTCTTATGCTATGGCTCTGTTACACTCTGTCCTGACCGCTTCTCTGTCCCTCTCAGAATCTTAACTTTTCCTTCATCCGAGGGAATTCTTCAGGCTATTTCTTTCCTCCGCACTTGTTCGCTCTGTATGTGATCTTATACAGGGCTGAGGGCTAAACACGGCCTAAAATTGCATTGAAAGAGGGCAGTAAGTGCCTGTGCAGAAGAAGCCTTGTTTTGAGAAGCCGTGATGGTTGTGCTACTTCAGGCAATATGGATATGATTGTTGTAACGACTTCCAGGGTGAATCATTTAACAAACTCCTCTGTGCGAGGGAGTTGGTCCGGTACTGTCGGTAACTGGAGCATTTCAGTCAGTTTGTCAATTAAATACATATATATAAGAGCATATAATGAGCATAAAGAATATATCACTAAAATGACAATGTGGGCCATAATTTTAATTTATTTTGACTGTTAAAGGTCATGTATTTTTGTATATATTTTCTTGAAAAATGGTTTAAGAACTCAGTATATAGAAGGAATCATGAAAAAGCAACTTTTACGGAGCAATTCATTATTTTTTACTCATTTTTTTCTATATGATGACATGAAAAGACTAGAATGGTAAGGTGATGCAGGCTTTAACACTCACATATTTATTTTATAAATCAGTTGCGTGTCGATGTTTGACATCCTTTTAAAGGATAAAAAATACCTCATGCTTCTGCGTGTTTGTTTTCCACTCACATCAGACATTTTTGCCTTATTTTAGGTTAAAGGGATGCAGGTTTACGTTTGCATGCCCACCAAATTTCGAAAAGAGGCAGCTAAAGAAAAGAACAACAACAAATATGGATGTTTACAGCTAAGCAAGTGTAGACAGTTGCTGCTCCTCAGATCTTCGGTTATATCATGGTCTCTCACTGCTGTTGCTGTATGATTGTTGTTAGTCTGTGGAAAGATGAAGCTATAGCGATGCAGACAATGTCTAACGGCCTTTTTTAAAAACTATACAGCAATTATGTGTATATATTAAATTACGTTGAACATACTTAGTAACGTTAATAACATATTCAATGACTGTTATCTCTTACACCAGTAACAAAAGTAATATATTGTATTTATCTATGTATTTTGACCTTACAGGCCATGTTTCCTTGCCTGGAAAGTAATGATTTGAGATATGTATACAGTATATATCATGTTTAAAACAGTATTTAAGGTTATGATATTTTAAAGGATTATAAAGTATATGATTGTGTGTGTGTGTGTGTGTGTGTGCGCGCGCACGTGCGTGCGTGAGGTCCTATTTTAATGGGAATGGCTGTTCATCTGAGTAACTGAAATAAATGTGACAGGGTCCAGACTGATAACCCTCCTTTATTTATCACACAAGACTTCAATACGAGCTTTACAAATAAAAGCACTAACGGTAGCATTTGTTTAGAGTGTTCTTCTAGCCCGTTCTGGAATTACATATTCAAAGCACCTTGCATCTGGACTTATTAGTAATTAAAACTGGTTTAAACTGATATCAAATGGAGTGTTGAAGGCAGCGTTTGGCCTGTAGTCAGATCTCTGCTGAATTCTGGCTCCTGTAGGTCTTATTTGTCACGGCTCTTTCATTCCAGAGCGTAGCATTTCCTTACATTACGTGCAGTTACATTACGTGATTGTTTAAATCTAATACAGGATGTGCCATTTCCATTTTTTAGAACTATATTCCTCAAAATTGTCTGTTTTTCAATGGATTTGATGGTGTTGAGATGTTTTACCAAAGTGTTTACTAAACTGTGAATGGTGTGACAATTCAAAGCAGTTTACATTGTACTGAGAAAAGTTGTATGTGTTGTCTTGTACATGCTCTATATTTGACAGGAAGTCTCTATGTAACTAATGTGGTTTCTTGTCGGCTGTGTTTATGGGAATAAAGGGTCAAGTAATATATTGAATACTTAAATCCTCTGAATTTGTGCTCTATAATTTTATGTTGCTGGTTTGCTCAGACTGCATTTCACATTTTCCACTTTTCTTAGTGTTCTGCTTTGTTCATTTTAATATTTCATTATTGTTTTCTTGTTATTATATTATATTATTTTCATATTATAATATTTACACACACACACACACACACATACATACATACACACTGCCACACACATAAAAAATACAGAAAAAACAGTAATATTTTGAAATATTACGATTTAAAATAATGATTTTCTATTTTAATATATTTAAAAATGTATACACGACAGTGTGTGTGTGTGTGTGTGTGTGTATATATATATATATATTCTTATAAAAATATTTTTTTATTTCCTATTATTATATTGAAGTCGCTAACGATCTGCCAGGGTGCATGCATGCTTCTTTCATTTTTATATTTTTTACATTATTAATATTTTAATTTTCTTATCTTATTTTTTCTAATTTCATTTGTATTATTTCCCATTATTGTATTGACATCACTAACTCCACACTGAGCATCCTGTTAATTTATCTTTCAGGATCCCGCTGTAAAGGAGACAAGTCTGTGTTCTGTCGGATGGAGGTTCTCAGTAAGTACTGCTCCAATCCGGGCTACAGGCAGATGTGCTGCAAGTCCTGCAACGAGGGCAACTACACCTCTGAATTCAACCTGACGAGACCCTGGATGTACACCATTGTCGCCCCTCCCATAACTCCCACCGCAACGGCTCCTGTTCTCACAACACAGCTGTATAGAACTTCACAGAAGCCTGGCACAACAATCACAGCATCATTCAGCAGATGGAGAAACATCAGCACTGAGCCCACATCTTGGGGCTACACATCCACTGTGAACCCAATAACCCTAAAACCAGGAACCACAGTCCCTTTCACCATTGGTTCTGTCACTGTGCACACTAAGCATCCCAGCACACTCGACTACGAAGAGGAAACCAGCACCCCGTTCTACGAGGACGAAACCTGGAGCGATATCTCAACTGAACACTTCTCAGAATCTGAATCATCAGAGTTTGTAGAGCCTTGGCCAACCACTCCACAATATACAAGCACACTTGAGAATAAAAACATCGGGACAACGTTTGTGACAACGCTGCAGCCTAATGTTACTGCAACAAGCCCTCCTGCCATAATCAGTCTCCATCGGTCAGAAGACAAGAAGGAGAATAACTCCATCGACGTGTCCTACAGGATTGCCAGTCCAAACGAAGTTGCACTCAACCACTTTGTCCCCAGAAAGCGAGTGTCGTTCCGTGAGAAAACGCATAATAAAAGAATTCAAGAGCTCCTTGCAGAGAAAAGACAACAAGACTTCCTGCTTCAAAGACTGAAACGAAAACCAGGAGACTGATACATTTCCTTTATCCCTGTGGTATTTTGTGAGTATATTTTTAAGTGGTTTTACGGCCTCTACACTCTTTCTTGGCATTTGCAATATTTTTACAGGAAATAACCTCAGATCTCAATCTTTCATGTAGTATCTGTTCAAGGCATCTGATCGGAAAGAAAAATGACCCTATAAGGCCTTTTTTTTTTTTTGAGGATGACATTTTCCTAGGGGTTTACCACATTTGGCTATTTTATTGGGGTGAATACAGGGGCGTAAGAAGCTGTCTGTTGTGAAGGTCTGACAGTTTAAGCTTAAAACGATTTTTCTAGTCCTCTACAATTGTTGTACATGATCCCAATGAGATCTTGGGTAAAAGAGTCATGGCACACTGTGTGATGTTAGCAGTCAGACTGTATGATACACATCCAGGATTTTGGTCCCAGTGGTGCTGTTGACAGCATATACGAGTGGTCACCGCACAGCTGCAACAAAATTTCACCGCCAGAACTTCATTGGAGGCTGAGAATCGTGAAGCGAAGAAATCATCTGATGGTGAATACACGTCATGCAAAAAGCTCACATTTTGTGCTACAGAAATTGTATGATCCCGAAATTAGGTGGCATAATATATAATTTTTTTTTTTTTTTTTTTTTAAAAATTTTGCATGTAATTACCCAAATAAGTACTAAGTAATATTCTGAGTAATATTAATTAACTACATGTACCTGCTATAGGGTTAAGTTTAGGGTTTGGTAAGGTTATGGCTTAGTTTAGGGTACCTGCATAATTATATATAATTTACTGTTATTACTATAGTAAGTATATGTGACATAGCTATGCCACCTTAAAATAAAGTTACTAATACTACTAGTATTATTATTGAATAGTTGCTTTTTGTTGAATGTGACATGTCTTTATCTTTTGATTTATGTAAATTTAATTCATTTGTATTAATTAATCATTTTGAATACTAATAAAATAATAAAAAGTCATGTTGTTAGTCGTTATTGTCTCACCTTTAAAGGTTTATTGACCCTTCTGAAAACAAAATTAAATCAGCTGGTTTGCTGATCATTGATGGTCTGGTTTGTTGGTTTTAGATGAGTTTTGGTCAACTGGTGAGGACCAGCTAAACCAGCTGAATACCATCTTGACCAGACTGGGAGACCAGCTAGACCAGCTTAAACTAGACCTGCTAAAAAGCTGGTTTAATGTGTGTGTTTTTTTTCATCAAATAGAATGATTTTTCAACATCTGGTTTATCTTGTCTAAACTTTTCAAGTCAACTTGCTTTAAATCTTCATTGCATTACCGTTTATATCAAGCTAACTCCCCAAGCCCATGGATCCTGTGAGAAGTTGCGGTCACATTAGCCAAAATTCAGCTAATATAGTGTAGCGATGTATGAAGCACAGGTCACACAGAGAAGACACTTTCAAACCAAGCAGCTTTCTGTTGATCAGTGTGGTGAATCCGTGTGTCCAGCTTGGGAAATGGGGAAATTTCACCACAACACGGAATTCCAGATTGCGTTGATTCCTATTGAAATGACTGGATTTCACCTGTGAAAATTCGCAGAACAATGGTATTTGACTGCATCTTAAATGTGACTGCACCTCAACTCTACATATTACGAACCTTATGTTGAAAAATCGTGTTCAGAAATATTCTGCTAAATGAACAAATGTAAATCAGCTATATACAGAATAATGGAATGTAAACCACTTCTAGCTTGAGCAATATGCTGAATAAACAGCAAGACGCATCGCAGCAGGCAAATATGTCGCAATGTTTACATGGGAAAAAACAACACAGATGGACGCAAGTGTGAACGACCTATTAGGACAGGGGTGCTCAATCCTGTTCCTGGAGATCTACCTGTCTGCAGAGTTCAGATCCAACCCTGATTCAACACACCTGTCTGTAATTATCAAGTGCCTCTGAAGATCTTAGTTAGCTGGTTCATTTGTGTTTGATCAGGGTTGGAGCTGAACTTTGCAAGAGTGTAGATCTTCAGGAACAGGATTGGGCACCCCTGCATTAGGATGATTGCTGTGGGATTGCTGACATTTTGAAACAAAATATTAATTCTGTAACCACATGACTATTTCTTGCAAAAAAAACTTATCTGGCTTCTATCTTAATAAATGCACAGATTTGAATCCCTTCGTAAAGGTTGTAAATATGAACAAGAATTTATGTTTTGTATTTATTGAAGTACATGTGTTTTCTTCCACAGCCATTTTGTGTTTATCAGACCACTTTGTGCTTTTTGTGCATGCGGCATGAGTGACAATCCTACACGTATCCAAGAGCCAGTACTATGATATCTCCTCCGCATTCCAAGCACTGTACTTGAGAAATCAGAGTATTTTAAAAATGCAGTGCACGTCTGCATTCTTCATTTATGACTGTCTACATTCTTGATTCAAGGGGTACAAGTGGACGTCTACATTCTTGATTCATCACATTCTTCACTTAATAAAGCTGCAAATGAACTAACAGTGTTGGTCTTATTCCAGCTATTTAAAAAAAAAAAAAAAGGTTTGGAGAAGTGATTTTAAGAAGAAACAAACTGATGGCCACAAGATGGCAGTGCTTCTCTCATCAGTTTTTTTTTTCGGTCTGATGTGAGTAGTCTTTATCTTAATCTCTCAAAGTTTCACCTTCCTGGAGTATTTGTCTCAATGTACTTACTGCTTAAACTGCCATTAAGATGGTCACATACAGATTAGTTTTGTATGTAGAACAACAGTTTATATGTATATATATATATATATATATATATATATATATATATTGAGCCGCTGTATAGTTGCAGATGGCAGTTTAGTGTCATTTTGTTTTAACTACATTGTTTTTACTAATGTTTTCCTACTATTGGGTGGTGAAGGTCTCAAAGTTGCTGTTTTCTGATTAAAACAACCTTGTGTCTTTAGACAAATGAAATGATGAAGGCCTGGCAAAAATAGCTTGCCTATTTTGTGCTGCAAAGTCAACATTACTATCAAAGTTTCAGTGCTGCTGGCTATAATACACTTTAGATTTTTTATAATAGGCACATGCTTTAATAATAAATGTTGTCAAATGTGTACATACACTACGTATATAACAATAATCGCATAGCCTACTGAAGTTAAATAATAGGACTAGGCAGTTAAACCCTGAAATATTGTAGCATTTTATAACCATAATGCAGCCAACATTGGGATTCTTACAGATTAGTAATGTGTGTAATAAACTGACCTTGTAATTGTGCACATAACGTAGGGGGCATCTTAAAAATGTCCTTTACCAGAGCTGCCCCGTGGCATATGTTTATATGTCAATTTCCTCATAGCCTTTGTATCAGATGACTGTCTTATCTATGTGGAAAACACAAACAGTACCAAAATAAACCTTATCTGCATATAAAAGATAAAAACTGAGGTCTCATAGCAAACACTAAACTGGACATATAAAAATGTTTTTCATTTATAAAGCTCTAAAAACCATACTGACTGATGTTTTATTGCATTTCCTGCAAATATGGAAAAAATAAAGGGTCTCAATTAAATATGTGCAGTGTCACATGGTTAGTGCAAATAGTCACATGACCAGAGCAGTTTAATTCTGGTTTGCACCATGAGATGATGATGGCTGCATCAAAGCTCCAAAACGAAAGGCTAGTAAAGTATGTTAACATAAAGATATGACAAAGATTTTTGGACCACAATATCTTCAAGGTGTCTAGTATTAATATATGAATTCACATATATTCAGTTTTGTTGAGTGTGGTCATAGAACGAGTAAATACGTTGACGGTCACAATAGTGGGATAACAGTGAATTTAGGTATACAATATAAATCCAATTGCAGTTGTTAGTGAAGGCTGCACTAAAATGTTGCAATGACAAAATATTACACTAAATTAAAAGTTGAAATGTTACAAATAAGTTACAATATTGATGTTGTAATACTGGTAGCACTAATATAAAAAGTTGATCATATATTTTACAATAAAGTAACAATTTTGAAATACGTTGATGGTTGTTCTTTTTGTCTTCTATCTCAGTATTCTTAACAGTGTTGTATAAGGTTTTTTTATGCATAATAGTAACCTTGAATGTTATCAAACAGTATAAAATAGCTGGGCAATTTTTATGACTGCAGAAATAGGCCTATGTTAATTCAGTGTACATGTTATCCCACCGGTCACAATTGTGACCGACCATAAAATAAAATTTCAAAAAATAACTTGATTATTTCAAAGGGTTACTAATGACACATCATTTGGATATTTTCATGTCTGGGAAAAAAATTGGGATTAAACAAAACTTAAGGATAAAATCACAGCGGCTTCCTTCAGAGTATGCATGGCTCATAACCAGTTATAAATATAAACAAAAATGATAAAAAATGGTTAAAGAGCACACTATTTACATGTTTTAAATTGTAGCTTGTTAATTGAGTACATCATTTTGTATGGATCCTCCTTATCTGCATATAGAACATCAACAGGAATATTCTGACGTGCTTCCAACTCCCATACAGTATATACAGAACATTTACAACAAACAAATCCATTCATGTCATCCAATCAATATTTCATGCCTATATGTCTTACCACAGAAAGCAGCACTGAAACTTTAATGGTCACTCCATTGCGTGTCCTGCTCTGTTGAAGTTGACTTTGTCTTAAAATTTCCTGAATAATTCAACAGATAAAAACCTTGGAGGCCGTATTCTATCTCCCTTCGACCAACGCACACTTCTGCACTTCTGGTGGCGTTTTATATAACCGCATTATATAAGAGTTACTTAAAATGAACCCTGAATACAACTGGCAAACTAATGGTGTTTTTTTAGGGCAAATTGCTATCTGTGCTCATGTGAAGTAACATGCTGTTGTGTAATTTTACTGTTTGTGTGTCATGTTAGCTTTGAAATGCTGTGACCAAATCACATTAGATCTCTTTTAAGATGTGTTAGAAGCTGTCTGCAACACAAAGAATTAGATTTAGGATATTTGCATGTTAAAATTAGATTATTAAATCAACCGTGCCAACCTCAAAATCTAACAAAATGACTTTTAAAATGTACAAATTGTCAACAAATTGGGGCACATTTTCTTTTATTGCATGAAGAAGGTGACTCCTAACATCTCTGAGACATCCTGGAGTCATTTCTTCACTAACAGGAATGGACAGACTTCACCCTCAGCCAGGCCATGCAAGTTGTAGATGAGTTTGTTTCTTCAGCAGAACAGATTTGGAGAAATTTAGCATAACATTACTTGCTTTCCAACTGATCCTCTGCAGTGAATGGGTGGCGTCAGAATGAGAGTCCAAACGGCTGATAAAAACATCACAATAATCCACAAGTAGTCAACACAACCTTGATGGCCTGCAGACAAGGACATTTTCAGGAAATTTTCATTTTGGGTTAAACTATTTCTTTAATGTTATCGAAAGGCCACTGGAATATGAAACTGCAGGTCCTGTTCTTTAGTGTCAAGTGATAAAATAAAATCTAAGCTTGATTTAGTTGCATTCTCTTTGTACGTTTTTTGGTGCCCTCAAAATATTCACATGTGAGTGAGTGAAGTGACATGTGGCCAAGTATGGTGACCCATAC